TGTTTTAGTGTGGTTTAGCATGCTAACTCATCTCATCTCTTGAGTTTAACCTAGCGTTGCCCCTCGGCACCATCAACCTACATTTCTTTCCATCATTCCTTCGCATCGCCATCCTCTGTCACACTTTCCCCTCAAATGCTCCTCTCCTAACTTTCCACCTCCCCTCTTCAGTGTTTGTTTTTCTTTTCCCCCCTCCACCTCTAGTTCCCTGGCCGCAAATCCCTGAGCGCTAGCGTTAGCGTTGGCCGCATTTCTCCGTGCGCTCTGCGGTCGTAGTGCTATTTTTACCCGTCACACTTAATCATGTCCTCTTGGGTGTCTTCCTTGTTAACCTAATGAATAATTGATTTGTTAAATCAAATTAAAATTAGTGTGTCAGATTGGTCGAGACGCTACACATGGGACACATTTATTTGAATTCGATTTTGTGATTATGAATTTGCTCTTACCTTACCATTTTACCAAATTTTTCACTAAATATTTTGAATTTTTTTGGTTGAAATTATGGACCTTTGCTTGGGTATATACTGGCAGTTGTCTGAAAAATATAGTTTTTTTTGTTACATATTTTACTGGACACTATGGTTGGGGTGTGTGATCTACATGACTACATGACTTACCTTTTGGACTTAAACTGGCAAAGTGACCCAGTCATTTAAAGGGGTCCTATTATGCTTTTTCACTTTTTCAACTTTAGTTAGTCTGTAATGTTGCTGTTTGAGCATAAAAAATATCTGCAAAGTTACAAAGCTCAAAGTCCACTTCAAAAGGAAATATTTTATTTAACAGAAATCACTTTTCAAAAACTACAACGAACGACTCGTTTGGACTACAACGCATATTTTCCGGGAAGTGTGATATCACAAATATCGACGAATGGGACGAGACCTGGTTGAGCTGCACTAGAGAAGGCAATGAGTGTTATCACTATGTCGGAGACACGCTAGCTTTCCCAAGATAGACGAACTTAGAGTGTTTACAATCATCCGGGTTTAAATTGCGCTCAAATTGATTTGATTTTGATGCAATATTTACACTGAAGCTCGCAGTATGGTAAGGGGCGTTACATTTCCTGACCAGGCGCCGAGTGGAGCCAATCACAACACACATTGGCCCAGCTAACCAATCACAGAACATTTCGTATTTCAGAAGGCGGGCCTTCATTTGATACAGGATCTATTCGAGCCGTTCATGCCAGACTGGGGAGAGAGGTGTTGTAATCAGGCGCGGCGCCAGAATTGTTTCTCTACCGGTGCTAAGGGGAGGCTAGACCAATATGTGGGGGTGCTAAGAAAATAAATGATATTGATGACGTCAGAGTTACTTCATAAAGAAATTGTCGTTTTTAAAAAAAATAAAAGCAACTGTGGTACACACCATATTCAACAGAAATTTAGTTTTAATTTATATTTTGCCAACGAATAGGCAGATTCATCAAAATAGATATAATCTTAGTACAAGTGACCATAAGACAACGACAAAAACTTTTTACATACAAAGGAAAGACTTCAGAACTGGACAGCACCCATGCGTTTAGCATTAACAACACAATACATTTGTATGCATAATCAGAACTGTGCATACTTTACACTTAAATAAAACATTAAAACGAACACCACATCACAATCTTAGTGATTATTATGTAATGGATTAAATGTAGCATATAATGCAAGAAACTGCGCTCACATGACACGGCGGTTAATGTGTGAGATATGTGCAAACAGCACCCATGTGCTCAGAATTAACAACACAATACATATGCATAATCAGAACTGTGCATACTTAAAACTTAAATAAAACATTAAAACGAACGCCACATCACAATCTCAGTGATTATTATGTAATGGATTAAATGTAGCCTAATGCAGGAAACTGCGCTCACGCGGTTCACTGACGCGGAGGTTACTGTGTGAGATGTGCAAACAGCACAGGACAGCACCCATGCGCTCAGCATTTACAACGCAATACATATTTATATGCATAATCAGAACTGTGCATACTTAAAACTTAAATAAAACATTAAAACAAACACCACATCCCAACCTTAGTGACTATGTAATGTATTGCATATAGCCTACAGAATGATGATACGTCTGTTGCCGTGATTTAGCGCAAATGAGGGCTAAACCAGGGGGCTAAACCGGGGCTATTCAAAATTCTGAGATGGCTATAGCCCCCCCTAGCCCCGGTGTAGCACCGTCACTGGTTGTAATAATGTAAAATATGTGAAAAAGAATGTGTTTTTCGAACAACCTAGTATGAGAGCCTGTTCTAGTACACCCCTAAAACAAAATCAAGACTTTGTAAAAGAGCACAATAGGAAACCTTTAACTAATGTGCCAAACTTGAATCCTATTGCAAACTAAATGAATTGTTCTAGTTAGTTGTGCCTGCAGTCACAGGTACCCTCATGATTTCATCGAATAATAAAGTGTACAATTAAGTGGGTCACAATGTCCCTTAGATTAACCTGCATCTATCCTTTCTAAAAATGGCTAAATACACCTTGGTGATTCAGTACTGATGGATATATGGCAGTCTTTGTTTTGTGTTTGCAAGGTCAGTTAGTCCAGTGATTCCCAACAACTAAATCAGTTTCAAGGGGGGCTTGAAAAGATTTTTATTTTTTGTTAAACCTCTAAAAGATAAATAATAATGTGTTAAAGACATATTCATGATTTTTTTTTTAATTTTTAAGGAAATAAAACAAACAAATACATTTTTTTTTTTGATAAATAGTGATAATGCTAAATAATTTACAGTGATGTATAAGTTAAAGAGAACGCATTTATGGTTTAGTGTTGATGAAGTGGTAGCCTTGGGCCTTGGGATGAAGTTGGGCCTTCCTGATGGTACTGTACAATAAAAGCCTTTAAACCTTATGATATGCTTATCATTGTTTTTCAGTATACCATAGAAACATGTGGAAAAATAATCTACAAATACTGAAGCAGCGAACTTTGCAAATCTGACAAAATGTGTCACTGCCAAAACTTTTGGCCATGACTGTATGTATATGTATATATATATATATATATATATATAAAGAGTCAATATTGACAGTGTTGACCCTTGTTCTTCATAACCTATGCAATTCGCCCTGGCTTCTGGGCCAAATCCTGTCTGATGGCGATCCATTCTTGCCTTATTAGTTCTCTGAGTTAATCACAATTTGTGGGCTTCTGCTTGTTCACTCACCTTTTGAGGACTGACCACAGGGTCTCTATGGGATTGAGATCCGGGGAGTTGCCTGGCCACAGATCCAAAATTTCAATGTAATGATCTTCGAGCCACTTCTTTATCACTCTTGCTTTGTGACATGGTGCGCCATCATGCTGGAAAATGCACGGATCAGCACCAAATTGCTCATGGATCATTGGAAGAAGTCCCTCTTGCGGGACGTTTTGATACCATTCTTTATTCATGGCAGTGTTTTGGGGCAGAATTATGAGAGAGCCCACTCCCTCGGTTGAAAAGCAACCCCACACATGGATGGTCTCAGGATGCTTCACTGTTGGCACAACACAGGACTCATGGTAGCGTTCACACTTTCTTCTCCGAACAATCGATTTTCCAGATGTCCCAAACAGTCGGAAGGGAGATTCATCAGAGAAAATAACTTTGCACCAGTCTTCTGCTGTCCAATCCTTGTACTTCCTGCAGAATTTCAGTCTGTCCTTGACGGTTTTCTTGAGAGAAGTGGTTTCTTTGCTGCCCTTCTTGACACCAGGCCGTGGTCCAAAAGTCTTGGCCTCACTGTGCGTGCAGATGCTCTCACACCAACCTGCTGCCAATCCTGAGCAAGCTCTGCACTGCTGGTGACACGATTGCAGCTGACTCCTCAGGAGGAGACGGTCCTGGCGCTTGCTGGACACTCTGGGATGTCCTGAAGACTTTTTCACTGCAGTCAAAGCTCTCTCCTTATAGTTCTTGATGATCCGGTAAATGGTTCTTTCAGGTGCAGTATTCTTTGTAGCAATTTCCTTGCATGTGAGGCCATTTTGATGCAAAGCCATGATGGCTGCACGTGTTTCATTGCTAACAAGAACACAATGATTGGAAGCGCTTCTTCCCTCCTTTTATAGCAATCAGTCTGCGCAATCAGTCTGCTCTTTATGATAGTGGTTT